CGCGCGCGCGCACACACACACACACACACACACACACACACACACACACACACACACACACACAGCCGTTCAGTTCGATATTCAGTTGCGCGGTTTACTAATTTAACGGTAATCATCATTTATAAAAATATATACAGAACTATCCCTGTTTTGATAATTTGGCCGACATCGCCCAGTGGTCGAAGCCTGTCCAGCTATTTAGCTAAAGTACTAAAATAAATCATTTCCGGGAACATCTTCATACCTATAATTCTAAGCAATGGGGCGGAACGAAAGCTGATGTCGATTCGCACAGCCTTTCATTATTTAGAGAAGGAGCCAGGAAGTCCATTCCCAGTTACCCAGGTAACAAATTTGTCATTTCCTAGTTCCCGGCTAATCGAAATAGCAATTTTACTTTGCCACGTCGCGGTGGAATTCTATTCGCAATTCACCAAAAATATTATCTGGCTTTTCCTCATTCCCAAATAATTAAAATACTCCAATCCCACGTCCCGAAAATAACCGTCCGCCCTCAACTGTTTACCATCCATTACTTTCCAATTAATGATATTCACGCAACCATACTGGCAAGCAGAGAATCTCCACCTGTGCACCCACGCATCGTCACAATGACTCGACCGCTACCGCTGCCGCACCGAAGGCCGCAACACGCTTAAATAATAGCGAAGAGCACGCACGGCTGTATTGTGCGCCATGACACCCAGGCTATTGTTTACCGCGCCTGGCAGCGGTGCTACACCCGGCAGAAGGCGAAAGTGCGCGATTAGGTAGGTAGGCAGGTAGGCAGGTAGCGATCGTCCCGTTACTCGCGTGGCGGGCGCGCGATGTCAGTGACCTGCTGCCGTGTGCGTGCGTGCGTGCGTGCGGGGGGCGGTCGGCCGTTACGGCGAGCACACCCGGTAGCGGTGGCCCGCGTGTGCCCGCGTCACACTTTCACCGGAGTAATTACGCTCGAATATACACTCGGCTCGGCCCGCAGCACCGGAACATTCGCTCGCTCTCGTGTGGTCTGGTTAGTCGCGTGCGCGCGCGTGTGTGTGCAGCTGCCATCGCTTCCTCATCGCACCGCCATCCTCTATCCGGATATCAAAGCTGCTTCGCTTGACCACCTAGTAGACATACGACTAGTAGTTGCAGCGATCATCGTGTTACTACGGGCTAGGTTCGTATAGGCGCTACCACAGCAGACGAAGAGTTATAGACAAGGCTGGTAAGTCTACGGCACAAAAATGATTTAGTGGTAGTACTAGTGATTTATCTTCTTGTAAGCGGAGCTGCATGCGCGCGCCTTCACCGCAAATGAAATTCTCGGTGCTTGTTAGCGGGACACTAACATGATGTATAGACGGAGAACTCGCGAGATCTGTCGAAGCTAAGTCCTGGAGACGTTAACCGTGGAAGGATTGATGATCGAGGGAGTCGGAGAACGCGTCTGTCAGAAACATAAACATAGAACAGTAAAGGACCGGCCATCTGTGCGGATTGCGCGAAAAGTGGAAAGCAATATCCTGTTTCGCATCAACGTAGCCTGGCGCCAGCATTGTCAGGGAATTACGTGTATTGTACACTCCGACTCATGGGACCGAGGCTGAACTGCGCTCGCCGTAGATCTGCGAGTAAGACACCAACGCATGTAGGGTCATGTAGCGAGCGTACTCTGCGTATTACTTGCCCCTGGCGTATACTCTACGCCGTGAAAGTTTCGTGCTGGACATTCCCGAGGATGGCATCGCGGCAGTGTTGGTGAGAGCACCAGGCCGTACTGGCGCGCGAAAACCCCGCGCATCCCCCCGACATGCACTCCGCTCCGCTCCGCTGTATTGAATGCGGAAATAAAACGACTTCCTTCAGCTGGATTTCTCATGATATGGATTTTAATAAGCATCCCGATGCCGCGATAGCGCTATCCGTTAAAGTTTATAGGTCACATCGCTTATAGCCTTACCAGCTGATAAACATTCGATTGCTTGGAAGTGGCCACCGTTGTCAGACCGGCTTGTTGCTGCGCGTCTATTGTCAGTCACGGTTAGATAACGAACGCGCATTGTAGACCACGATACGATCTACCGCTGCGGTTGTTCCGGTGAAGGCATAGCTGAAGACAAAGCAAGTGGAAAAGGACGTGGTCGCTGTAGCAGTTTGAGGAAGGCAGGGTTACGTGCTTGGTCACCGAAACAAACTACAAGTGCACGCGTCCAAGATAATTGCATATTTGCGCTGATAATTATAATGTTTAGACTTTGCTCTAAATGGGTATGGACTATGCGGTACAATTACCACCCAGTTTCCATCCAGATTTACCGTCCAGTTTTACCGCCCGCTTTAGGCCTCTATCCCCTTTCTCCATCGTTGATCACAGCGTACAAAATTGCTGTTTGTCCTCCGTAGCCAAACTAAGTTAATGAGAGTCTATGCGTTCGTAAAACCTGTCGTTGATCACTTCAATATTTGTGTAACATATTGAGATATTCATATTGGTTGCATATAGCGTTACCTGCAATCTATTCATCACGTTTCAGACAACCATTGATGACAATGCGGGAAAACGTGGCCACAGCGACGCAGCGCGCAATCTGTTTCATATTAGTTGTTTCTCAGGTAATAACAATAATCTAACTATAAATATGGCTATTTGTATTATGCGTGTGTGCGTATATCGGTGCAAGCGTGCGTGCGTTCGTGTGTGTGTGTGTGTGTGTGCGTGCGTGCGTGCGTGCGTGCGTGCGTGCGTGCGTGCGTGTGTGTGTGTGCGCGCGCGCGCGTCATTACGTCACTAATTGAGATCAACAACAAAGTTTTGACTGTCGCGGATATTACTATCATGACAAACTGTAAGTGTAATTTTGTCAAACAAATAAACATAACATAAATAATAACATCGTGTGGGTGCTGAGTGCTCAGCAATAAAGAATTTGTCATTTATTGATTTCAGGCACAATATTTATCCGCGATGAGGCTGAATCCAAAAGGTAATCATTAATGATTGAGCTTAATATTCTAATAATGCATTTTATACGGTATATGAATCCATTCAGCCATCAATTTCATCCAGTGATGTTTTACGAGTTTTATTTTAGATAATATAAGTCTAAAAATGGTGACTGAAAAAAAACACTGATTTTGATTCTTATAGTGGTGGTATCATGTGAGGATCCAAAGGCCATGGAAGTCACTATCGACACCCCGGGCACAGTGGCGGGCGCCATTTATGTTAAAGATCAAGTGAAGAACCCTAAGTGCCTTCTGCAGCCAACATCTGCCAAAACTGTGTTCGTGATTCCATTCGACACGTGTGGTACACTCAAGGTAGGTGTTATTCTCAGAATGATGAACCTTCAAGACGTTTAGTATTATTTGCTAGTATAATTATTGAGTCCTACTACATGCGCAACCGAAACCCCTATGAAAAATTAGGGGCGTCCTGAAGGACGACTAATTATTATTATTATTATAGTATTATTTTAGCTAGATGCAATTCCATATCTATTGAGACAAGTTATGGTGTAACCATAAAAATGTGTACATGTGTACACTCGTAATTGCGCAGAGAACACAAAATAGGAAATAGCTCACAATACACGGGTAGATAATTTATGACCAAAAGTAGAATGCCGATATTATTAACGGCGTAGTAGAGCTCTGTTCACGTATATTTATTTTAATATAATTAATCCGGTTGACTAACTATCCTTATACTCGGTTCCTGCTTACCTTGCGCACCGTGTCGTGAGTTCTATTCTTCTCTTCTGCCTCCTCTAGATATTTTCTCTGCAGTCTTTTTCTGCAGTGGCCTCCTACGTATTCTAAATGTTTCCGTTTTAGTTGCCTGTCTAGTAGAATAACTGTAGCTGATTTTCTGCGCCCCCGGCATGTGTCCCACCTGACATTTCCGAGACTTTACGCAGCATGTTTTTTTCCTATAACGTATAACAGGATAATAAGCTTAGCTAGCGGGTGCTACCGGCAAGTACTTTTCGTGACTTTGGTACGCATTTGATTTTGCTTGCCTTGCTTACTTCGCAATCTACACGTTTCCGAAATGTCAGCAGGAAAATATTTTCTTGGTGCCGTAAGAGGTTCGAGTTCCTTGCTTAGGTAGATACAGATATAGGCCCTAAGTATTTATATATATATATTGTAGTTTTTACGATTGTTATGTAAGAGGCTATGCTAAATACGACACTCATGTTTTGCTCAGGTCTATCAATAAATTCCTTACTACTCGTATACTCGCATGTATATAATAATTACGTATTAATTGCTTTAAATACCGAATATGAATATAATTAACAGTCATCGCGATGTTCGACACACGACATCTTTCAAATGTCAAATAGCGATATACCCAAACTAAAAAAAAGAGTCTAATAATCATAGCGTAACAGAAATCCACGCAGGTATTTAAATTTTTAATATTGTATATCCGTACGATATAAAAACACGTGCAAAGTATTAATACTGTAGCAGGTTGTAACTTTTGTCTGTTGATTGAATCGAGCACTGTTATATTGTTTGGGATATCCGTTATAACTTGGCAATTTCTTTCTGTAAAGGAGAACGAGATATACACGACAACAATCATCATTCAAAGACACGCCACAGTCGTCACCTCAGAGGATATTTCCTATCGCATCCAATGCTCATTTGACACCGGCCTGCAGACGATACTCAACTCCGACGTTGATCTTAAGTACGCATATATGCGGTCTCTACTTTGTCATTATACTGTTACGTAAGGAAGGTTTTTGGTGTTACACGTTACACGTCGGTCAATGATTCGTACACTCCTGATCATAATACGCGCAGTTCGACAGTTCATGGAGTGCAAAGTATATAATAGGAATTCGCTTCCGCAGATGTAACCGCACTACGGCTTACAACTGTTATTATCATCGGTAATCTATGCGTCATCAAACTGACAGCTATAACGCGTCGGATGACTTCCGCTTACAGCGACCTGAAGCCGATCAACGTGAATAACACCGCAGCGCCACCTAGAGTCACAATGAACGTCTATGACTTTGTAGCAGACCAGTTCGTGACAAAGCTCAAACTCGGCGAGGTCTACGAACTTGAAATTGACATTACTAATGGACGTACGTTGCATTTCAAATGTAAAATTAAGAAGATAATTTACCAGTCAAACCCCAGCAGCATGACAATAGTATGTAAACCCATATTAACGTGTTAAATTAAAGTAACAGCACGCATGTCAATTAGAGAACTCTCACAGATGCTCTCTGTTTAGTTCAACTATGAAACTTAAAACATTTTTTGGCATATCTCTAGGCATGTACGGGGGATTTGTACGAAACTGCAAAGCCATCAGTGGAGATGGTATGGTATATCAGCTTCTCGACGATAAAGGGTAAGACATCGCCCAATAATGCCACAGTAGCAAGTTTCCATGAGAGATCTGTTCGCGAAAATGTGTCGTATTAACCGGTCAAATAATAAAACCAGCAACATATAAGGTTCATATCACGCTTTGACTAGATACCCCACTGACTGTTATTTTCCTTTGTTTGTCTAAGCTGTCCCACAGACACATCGATATTCGGGAAGGCATACACGGACGACCAGTCTATGAACACGGGTCACTTATTCATCTACATGCCGTTTGAAGCGTTCAAATTTGCAGAGAATTCTAAAGTTCGCTTTCAGTGCACGTTAGTAATGTGCAGAGGGACTTGTGAGGCGGTACGTATCTTGTAAAGCAGAAGTAATAATGACATGTAAAGCTGCTAAATAGTGTAAATGTAATGAACACGATAAAGAGATAAAATACACAGGCAAAGAAGCAAAATATGCGACTGACTATAAGCGGGCGAAAATACACATAAGATGATAAGTAAACGAGAATTTTAGTTAGAAAAGAGGAGGAGAGGGAGATGTAACTGAGGGAGAGGAATGACGGGCGGATTTGAACATGGGACTGCGTCTGTTAAATAGCGCAAAGAATGTGGATTGTATTAATTCAATATGAATGACAGAAGCTATTTAATATACTATACCAACAATGCGTTATAAAATGTTTGATTTTTAATATTAATTTTTTTATATAATTTAGACACAATGTGGTGAGGAAGTTGGCGAGACCTTTGGTCGTAAGAGAAGAGCCGCTAATGAAGATGAAGATGAAGATGCTGATGTGGTCGAAGAGGTGGCCATGACTAGAGGCTTTGAAGTGATTACTGAAGACGACACATCGCTGAGGGAAATGCTTGCGCAAGACGGTAATGCACGATAGCTGTTACAGTTGTTGTACACTGTACGAACCTTTTTGCCGCATTTTCACAAGTATGCTAATGTATAACATCGCATGTTCTCATAAACGTTTCGTCTTGTTGTCTCTTAATTCCTAATAGTTTCTACGCATTGTTTTTCTAGCCAGCAAACCTCGGAATTTAGATCATTATATTACCAACTCCGCGTCTATTATGTAATCAGGAGCGAATGAAAATCAATGTACTCTTATTTACATTTCCATCAAGATGCAATCTTACTTGGGCGCTCCCTCCTCGATAATAGGCAGAAGGATTGATTCTTGTGATTTGTTGTAGCTGGCGGTCTCCTCGCATAAATTTACTGCAGTGCGTCCAACGCATGCGCCTTCCAGCATTAGACGAAAATCCGCGGCTCTTTGACTGATTCGTCTCGTGTGTTCGTGTCAATCGTATCTAGATAACGTGAAGAGGAAGCTGATGGAGGAGGCCAGTCACCTGCCGTGGATCGTTCTCACGGCGCTTCTCGCCACGCTTCTCATCGTTTCCTTCGTCTCCAACATCCTCTTCTTCTCCAAGCTGCGACGACACCGGGCCGAGTGCGCAAAGTACGGCATTGAAAACGGTAAGCGTACGGGCTGTACTTAACCTCACATCCCATGACATTTATATATGACCATGACGAATACGAATTGGTGCAAAACAATAGACTATTATAGCCTCTGATGTAGGCGAATCTAATACTTGCTAAGCACACGGATCGCTCTTTGTTTTACCACAGATATATACCGTACTTGTAAAAACACTGTGTTTGTTTATATCTATGATTTTACCAATCGTCCTTTCACACGCATGAGTATTAGCAGGCGTATATGTGACCTTTGTACCTGTGTAACTGCCGGAATTAAGCGTTCATTTCATTTTGCGTAGCATTTGTAGCGGAACCGCCAAAGTACATGGGCGCGGGTCTTTCTAGCCACGGGAACTCACTCAGTTGCGACAACAACGAACACCAGTGTAGAAATGCCGGTCAGCTACCGGCCAACACCGACAAGAACTCACGGAGACTCTCGTAGTTAACACCTGTGCTCTCATTATCGCCACTAACCTCCTCGTGCAGGCGAACACCCGGTATATACGTATAGAGATATCTAGGTGGTCATTCGTACTCGGCGTGGCTTTTAGATGGTATTCGTGCGATTTGTCGAACGAGTCGGTGACCGGTTTTATTCGCTGAATTTCCAGAATCATGAAGTAAAACGCAATGACATCCTTGAATCAGTGTCATCTTCTAACATTTGTATAATTATGCGAATTCACGTACCTCATCATATCAGGCTCAGACCAGACCGTTCGAAGCTTATTGTCACATTTGTTGAAAAAGACATAAGGAGCGATGCTCATTGTTTGATACAATGTTGATGTCCATTGTTGAGCACACAGACGTAGAATATTCATATAATTCTGATAATTTACAATGTGGTAAACTCACGTGATAAGATATGATTAGGCGCGTTCCCACACAAGAAAAACCGCGATGCTAATCGCGATGAAATACCGAGATAATTGTGTCGTTGTTCACACAGGCGAATAATCGCGCTAATCGCCGAGCGGGATAATTCTATTAATCGAACTGCGCATGCTCACTGCTGGAATGATGCTCACTGCGCATGCTCACTGCTCACTCGCTTGGAATGATGGGATAGAAAATACCGGGATTATTTGCGCGAGCGTTCACACACGCAAATAATCGCGCTAAAATACCGGGATTATTTGCGCGAGCGTTCACACACGCAAATAATCGCGCTAATTCCAAAGCGAGCGTTCACACACGCAAATAATCGCGCTAATTCCAAAGCGAGCGTTCACACACGCAAATAATCGCGCTAATTCCAAATAATCGCAGTCAAAAGTGCGATGGAGCGCGGATGCTGCATCGCATTATTAGCTGAGTATTACTTGCGTTTCACACTTCGTAAATTACATCTCCGGCGTATTTACGGGATCGCGATGCCAAAAACGCGGATTTGCATCCCGCTTATTCGCGCCGCCAGTGTCGAGACGCCGCCTAATAACTCTTTTCGTAATTGCTGCTTTGAACTCTCTTTGCAGGAACGTGAAAGAAAATCGCTGGCATAGCGCCGCGAGAACGGAGAAGTGGTGTAAGACCACTGTAATATATCGCTAAATGGCCTACAATTATTGTTTGATATCTATTGCTAGCTATATGATATTCAGCACGCATTTATGTAAAGTATGTAATGATGTTATTATAGTATTTTTATTATTTTGTCTTGCCCCTGTGAATCAAATGCAGTATATGACGCAATCTTAACATTCCATGTGGAAATGCCAGATAGCGAAAACGTGGGTCGTGCAACAAAATCTTCTACCGTATATCAACAGATCAGTTATAAAGGTACAATTATGAACAATCTACATATTAAATGCTCATAATACTACTACGATCACCATCCATCTAGTAAGACTTTAATGCACAATAAGGGAAGTTAAAGTAATATCAGGAGTGTATAATGTAGAGACATATCACTGCACTCCTGGTAATATAGATAGGGTATTGAACCAACTGTATTGATGTATAAGGATATAATTTGCCAAAAGGCCTATTGCCTATTTTGCATATTCTCAAGCACCACTACGATATGTTAGAAAATTTAACAATACAATGTCATACAATTTACATATCCATGTATAAGTACGAATTAAGCCAATGTAACATATGCGCATTTACATGCAAGTAAAGACTTGTTTTTTATGTTACATATGTTTTACTCGTTCTGTTCCGCATGCTTTAATCATTTAGGATCACATCATCAGGATATCTTATACGGATATATAAAAATTATGCGCACGCGC